TGCCCTCCCATCTCGACGTCCTGTATTTCATCACCCGCCTTATATTAAGTGGAAAATATAAACTTCAAAGCTCCTCATTATGTAATTCTGTCCATCGTACCCGTCCTACTGCTTCTTCTTTGCTGGGTTCATATCGACCCGTTCTTTTCAACACTCCGTCTTCAAACACCTTTCAACTACGTCTTCATATTCTACACCAGGCTCATCGTTTGCGGTGCCACGAAGGCGTGCGAGCAAGGAGGTGCAGTTCCACGCCATGGCAGTAGGTGGAAGTGGCTGGTCAGCATCACACTCCGGCTGCTTTTGCCCCAGCACCCAGTGACTGGAAACCTGGGTGGATTTGGTAGCAAAGGGGGCCATCTCTGATCATGCCGGGAATCAAACTCAAAGTTAATCCAGAATCTGAGTACCTCGGAAACGTCTGGGATGTACACAAGTGCTCAGTTTTGCGCTCCGGTCACTCTACCCCGATGGCCACTGGATCGTAGGCGAAGTGGTCGTGCGAGGAGGAACTTCCCTGAGCTCTCAAGAATTTTATCCCAGTCACTCAGAACGTAAAAGACCCAACGAGGCGTCAGCGGCATGTTTCTGTACAGGTCTGTTTTCCATCTCAATTCTCAACCTCGATATTAACCGAATTTGGCTGTGGGGCGCTGTCAACCAGGAGCAGGCTGGAGCAGACATGACAGGAAGTGTCTGTCACCGGTAGTAGGCAGGAGGACAACTGGACAGTGATGGATGCCTCGTGCAGCGGTTCGTCATGTAAGCACATTACGAAACACATTTTGGCCCTTTCTCTGTCCTGGCATCGAACTGTGGAGCAAGACCACCTGCTCACATAAACTCGTGTAGGCCAAAAACATTGATTTACTGCCAAGCACTTATTATTTTTGCAAATAAGTCATTCACTCACTCGCTTCCATTTTAATATCATTCTCCCATGAAATCCCACGACACCCAAAAACAGGTCTCCTCGCTTGACGACTGCCAGGCAACATTCCACTCCCTTTTCCACTATGCGTTCAACTTTGTCAGAAAATTTAAAATTGCTTAGCTGAATAACAAATATTCTTCCTTCTACAGAATCTGGAGCAGCATTCGCAGATGCCCGTGACTGGACCGGCTCAATCCAACCGAAGCTACCACACCCTGTCTCTCGAAGATGCGCTTCGATTTGACCTGTGACCTCTCGACTTCAAGTTATTCAATCAAAACTTAACGTGCATTTCTGAACTCTATGCGCGCTACATATGCTATAAACATAATTATCTAAAATTTGATAATCCCAACAAATTATAAATCTGATCCTTATACAACATTCTCCTCTTCCCGCTTTTCCTTCCTCAATGCGAATACTCTACACAGCCTGCCGTGTTCTCAAACGCCATCGACATTACGTTACTCGTAAAAAGAAGCAAACAAACATCCCTGTTGACTCCGCCTTTCCGTCTTTCAGCCGCACAAGGGGAAAGACCAGAACAAAGCAACTCTGTATCTTCGTAGAGATGAACTTCACAGAATGCGCGGCTTTCCAGAAATAAGCGACGGGTACTCTCGAGCACAGAGCATCCCCTCCATACTTTAACTACACAATAATAACTATTTAATTAAGATTTACGTGTAATTTAAATAAATATGTCTTTTCTCAGTCACACAAAGGAGACGCGTTGCCTTTCACATACGTTATAAATCGGTTCCAATAGTCTGCCTGTTTCTATAGCGACGCTCACTGCCGTGCGTCGCAACGTTCACAGCCCACTAATATATCTGGGCACTGCCCCAATTAAAAACACCGGTAAACATGTTTTTAATGAAACTAAGTGCCTGATGAACCTAAAATAAAAGAAGTAATGACGTTGCTGAAACGCGTTTTCTGATGCCATCAGCGGAAGTTACGCGCCGAGACCAAAGATCGATGACGATATTAATTAATTAAAGAAGTGTTTCAGATTAATAACATTGCAGGCTACATGACTAAACTAAGCGCAGATGCGCGTAGCCCTTCAGAATTCTTGATAAGAGGCGTTGAATGTGTGGTGGAAGAAATTCGCATCCCAAAGACATCTACAAATTTTTGCCCTCCAGGGAAAACATGTGGAAAATATTTTAGACTACAGAATGAACAAATTATATTTTAATGGGAGCGGGACAATCAACTGGATTTACTTCGACCCATAACGCAGGAAACAATACTAAATGCAGATGACTTTATGTTTTATGACCTTCATCAAGCCACGCTCGCTCCTTTCTGAAGCTGGCTACCTGGTGTTCCGAGACTGCTGTTTTTTCACCATTACTCACCAAATAATGCGCTCGCTGCAGTGACGTTGCTCCCATAAATTACAATTACGCAGTGACGTCGCACTGAGCCTGCGTGCGTTGTCACAGGGAAGTTGAGAGGTGTGACGATTGAGGAGGGAGTTCATATTCAAGAGGAAGGGGCGGATGAAATGGGCTATATCGTAGAGGAGGTCTCCTTTACTAGAGTCAGGTCAGCTTGTAGTACACTGATCCACTACCCGTTCCGAAACAATCAGCCCTTTCATCAGCGGTTCGACTTCAGATGGGCCTGTTGATGGACAGTGGAGCGTTTCACAGGTCCTCCTGTCACTCACTGCACAATGCCCCCCCCCCCCAATAACATCACTGCCGGTAAAAACTCACATGAGCCACCAGAAATTGGGTAGGGCAGTTACGCAGACTTCGCTCCTTTTCTCAACCACGACTCAAAAACTAAAATCGACTCTTTGTCGCGGGTAGCATATAGTTTATACTAACGCATTTTTATAATCATCTGACACAAAAAGTACGATTACAAAGATGACGGGTTAGTCCTCAGCATGTCCAGCGCCGGTACGAACATTGTGGGTTTTTGATTTCGTAATCGACCTTTGTGGAACAAACCGTATAGAAACATCCACACAATAACGTAATTATAAAGCAGCAAGAGTGTGAAACGCATACAGATTAGTCTTTCAGATATATCAGAGCAATTCCATGCCGCAAACACAACTTGCAGCTGCTTATATCATCTCAAGGATACATACACACAAACACACACGTGTTGTCGAATTCTTAAAAATTCAATCTGCTTGTACAACACCAACATTACATTAAGGAACACCCTGTGTCAACAGCAGATCTGGGACCCATCCAGCATCTTAACCAATGGATACAGCGAACTATCCCCACAGGAACAGAGCGTACGAAAAGCAAAGTTAAATTGCCTCCATCCGGTGCCTATGTTATTCTGCACGCCGAGCGTCGTACGCCATACGTAAAACCTGCAGGGATCCACACATCACACAAAAGGCGATAATGATACTCGAGACGCTGAGGAACAAGACTGAGCAATCGGACGCCTATCGTTGGAGCGCCGAGCTGAGCACAGAAAACGAAACGCCAAGACGAGCCAAGCGACGGCAAGCAACGCGACGTCCTGGGATGAAACTAAATAAGTGTCGTCATGCCTACCCACTCGACGACGAGGATCGTGACGCCGACCGCCGCGGCATACGTTATGCCCACGCTGACACAGGACAACATAAGTCGCGCGACGCCAATCTAAAAGATGCTGAGAAACGAGTTATCAAGCAAACCACCTCCAAGCGTCGCGACGCTCGGTCTGGCCTTCAAACATAGACAGGACACATAAAAGCACGCGCTGATACCGACAATCGTGACGCCGTACGATCTGACGCAATCCACCCGCTCGGCGTCGCGAAGCTTAAGCAGGGCGAACAACCTCAAGCAGAGCCACTACAAGACCTGCCATTCGCCCCGCCAATCCACGCCTTCAAAATAAACTATGCCAAATACAAGAAGAAGCCAAGACACGCAATCATCATCGCCCTGATTATGCAGACGCCCTCGAAACGTCGGCCAATTTCTACGAGGGTACACTGCTCATTCGAGATGACTTAAACAGTCTCCGTAGGGATTCAAATCCGATACACTCCACACTTTCACTCTGACGCTGCTGGAACTAGAAACATTCATTCGATCGATGTTTTTACAATGAGTACAATTGTCACGAGCACGATCCTTCGTGGGAACCATAAAGAACAGAACTGAAGGGTAAAGGGAGGGGAAGGCAGTGCTGCCATTTCTCTACTCCCCTACTGTCAAGGTCGTCGTCTTTACTCAGACGAAAAAGTAGCAGACAGAGGAAGGGGATAAAAAGAAGGAATGATAATGGAGGAGAGCAGAGGAAGTGTCCCACCCACAACGCACCTCTGCACGTGACGCACGTCACAGAAAATAAGTCTTCGCCTTCTCGGTTCGCATGCCCGCAGACAGAGAGATCCGATGCACTTACCATCGCGATCCGGAAACACGAAATCAAAGAAACTATGTACCAAATACACCGCAAGAGTGGAATACGTAACGAGCACCTCACACCAAACGCCTAAGGCAGAGCGCAGTCTTTACCTCAACATCACATGCAGGTACGACCAGTTTCAAAGTCCAGAAATTATACTGTGATGTTGGTGTCAACACCGTTAAAGCAGTTCGAGTAACAAATATATCTTGACTGCGTATAAACAAATTTAGTCCGAAATTAAATTTAAGTCGCCTCCTGCTTCCGGTCAATCCATAGCCACCTTACTGACTGAGCTACAAAGAAGAACATGTACCGGAACCTTAACCCACGCAATCTCTAACCTTCATACTATAAATTCTTCACTTACATTCCTTCCCACTGCCTGCCTGTCGTGCATGACGCAAAGCGTCAAAACAAGAACACTTACCTGAAACAAAAGAAAACGTGAGGTTCAAGACGACTGCAATGCCTGAAGGAGAATAGCAAGCCGTAATTTATCATAAAGCGATAGGAAGCGACGATGCATTTATCTGGCTCACGATAGGTACATGGATTTACTTAGTATATGTACGACATAGTTATTAATAATGCCGCTTAATGCCTTTAAGACAGTAGACACCCCGCTTACCTAACAGGGGTGTTAACGCGCCTCAGTTACGGAACCTGAACTGCACACACAAATCTACTATAATCGGGCAAACATAGTCTCGGAAATCTAATCATTCCACAGGCAGAACACTTCACTATATCTAAGAAGTTTTCACAAAGATGGCTGTCTTCTGGGTTGTAACGCCGTGTAGTCTGGTAGACGTTCACCGACATTTCAGAATCTCTTGATACCTCCATCATCCTAATTTTCGTTGTCTTCTCAAAATGTTTAAAATGAACCCTTAAATTCTGATGACAACTGTCCGTACTTCGAGCTTGTGTTTTGATAACGACATTCAATTTGAGCTCTATGCAAAATGGAATATAACCAGACGCATGCAAATGTTTGTAACTTCCTGACCACAATCAGAGTAGAGGCTCGTAATCCTCTGAGCGCTTTCGATGACAGACAATGAGAAGGCTTTTTTTTACGCGTTCATTTTACGTGTTTTGTGCGAACACGTGAAATAATGGCAGAAGAATCAATCATCGGCGATTGCAGTGCTTATCAAGCTGCGTTTTTGGAACAACCTACACATACCACACTTAAGCATAACGAGTAACGGTCACAACTTTGGCAAAGCGTCACAGCTGGATGTAAGTCCGTTTCCCGTGATGCAGCAGATAACCCATTTAAAACACGGCATGACGTCAAATTTTCATATCATCTCTAAGACAATGTCACAATTTCTTCGCTAACAGATAACCTGGTTTCTTGGTGGACTTGAAATGACACGTGGCGTCACTGCAAACGTCACAACACTTACCAGTGAGTGACGTAACGCCACAGCAGGTTTCGTGTTACGTTTGATCAATGTACAGAAGTGTGAGCTTTATCTCTCACTTCGAATAGGGCGATAAATCAATCCACGCAGAGCTTTCCCAACCGCAGCAATTTCAAATTAAGTACTAAAGAAGCTGATCCCAGCAACGGAACCAAAGTCTGTTATGGGGTCGGCCCGTCGCGACGTCACAGTAGCACAGCGCCAGAAAAATGCGGGCACATAACGAAAACTCAGAGAGAAATCAGCCCTTCGAAAATATTCGTATTTACAGCAAAGGAAAACGAAACCCGTGCATGTTGAAGGAAATTAAGAGCAAGATGTTAAATGCACGAGGAACATAGTTACCACTGTGCCTCAAAGGATCAAATCGTGAATGCAAGACAACCAACATTCAGAACGCCATGAAATTTGTAATCTCTTTGCGAATTACTGAACTTCTGTGCATGGAAACATGAACTACCCTCATTCGTATGTTAAACAATGGTATACTGGCATCATTACATTTTTACGACATTTCGACAAC